TCGATTGTATCGACATGCAAACTCAAGATCGGGGATTTAAGTATATAATGGTGTATCAGGACCATTTGACAAAAATTTGTTTAGTTGTGTGCACTGAAAAGTAAGAGAGCCGTGGAGGTGGTGTATCAGTTGACTGATATATTTTTGACATTTGATGCTCCTTGCATCTTACACTGCGATAACGGCAGAGAATTTGTAAATTCTGTCATAAATGAGCTTGTTTAATTTTGGCCCCAGTGTAAACTGGTCCGTGGAAAGCCAAGACACAGTCAAAGCCAAGGATCTGTTCAAAGGGCTAACCAATATATAGAGAAAATGTTGGCTTCATGGATGCAAGATAACGATATTACAAATTGGTCAAATGATATTTGGTTTATACAGTTTATGAAAAATTGGGCACTTCATTCCCGTATTAAATAGTCACCATACATTTGTATGGCGACTGTTTAATATTTGGTATAGAACCACGAGTAGAGCTTATGACTTCGACTTTGCATCAAGATGTTATTGAGGATATAAGAGATGAAAATGATCTCGAAAATGCGTTAAAAAAAATATGACGGATAGTACAGATAATGCAGAAACTGACCCTGTAGCTAGTTGCAGTGGACAGCATCAGATTATAACCGGAGCCAAACAAAAAGACGCAGAAAATTCATTCAAACCAAGTAGAGTTTTTACAATTTGCCACTATGTCTGGCATATGTGGACTATGAGAAAGCCTTTGATTCCGTCGAAATTGTTGCAGTCCGTTCAGCGGTGCCAAGTTGACTATCGGTATATCGAAGTGCTGGACAGAACTGAGTACAGAATCAGAGTACAAAACCTATCCAACTGCAGAGAGGTGTAAGACAGGGTGACGTTATATCCCCAAAACTCTTCACCGCTGCATTAGAAGATGTTTTCAAGCTTCTACACTGGAAAGGATATGGCATTTAACATCAATGGCAAGTACATCAATCACTTATTTCAGAATCGCTGAAGGACCTAAGCACTATACTCAATAACCTCAATATGCCTCCCAACGGAGAGGTCTTAAGATGAACATGGACAAAACAAAGATTATGTATAATGTCCATGTCTTACCTATGCCGGTAGTTGTTGGGAGCACTAAGCTTGAAGTTATTGACGACTATGTTTACCTGGGACAAATAGTTCGACTAGGTAAGTCCAACTTTGACCAAGAGGTCAGTTGACGGATTCAACTCAGCTGGGAAGCATTCGGATTTTTTTCTTTTTTATAGAATAGGGTGACAAACAGGCACACAGTCCACCTGATGGTAAATGGTTGCTGTGGCCCATAGACATCTACATCTATCCTCGTTTGTGAATCAAAATGCAGATGCGTTGTCAGCGTTGAGGACTAAGATGGAATGCCTCTTTTCCAGTAAAAAGGGTCTCCGGTTCTCTAAACTCACCATACGAAACACAGCAGCATTAAGCTGCTATTTTACGCTGGTATTCTGTGAGAGTGTGGTTCTTCCCCGGACGAGCTGACCCATCCGTGCTACAACTATACTGTTAATATAGCTGCAGCATGGCTCTACCACATAAGAAATTATGGAACATCTTCTTGTCAGGTATACCTCAAAACTTGAAAACGAGACTGTACAACCAGTATGTGTTGCCAATGATGACCTATGGAACTGAGACGTGGTCCTTCACTGCTGGTTGGATGAGGAAGCTCAAGGTCGCTCAACGAGCTATGCAGGGGAGCTATACTCGGAGTTTCTCTGTGTGATAAACTTAGAAATGAGGATATCGGCAGTAGAACCAGAGTGACTGACATAGACCAACGGATTAGTAAGCTGAAGTGGCAATAGGCCGGCCATATATCTCGAATAACCGACAAACAATGGGGAAGAAAGTTTCTCGAGTGGCAGCCTCGTATTGGCAGGTGAAGTGTAGGGCGTCCCCTCACTAGATGTCCATGTGTAAAGTGCAAAAGATAGCTGTTATTAATACAGTAAAAAATGATAGATGGTACTATTATAAATTTGTCATCTGTGAGAGTGAATTTTATCTGTATATTAGTAACAAAATATTTAGAAAAAAAAAATTAAAATTAAATTTTGCCATTTTTGTTTGCGGGATGTTATAGTGTGAAGAATTCAATCAAAAATGTGATAAATGTTCGTTTTTTATATATTATTTCTAATGTTATTGTACATCAAACTAATTGTGAAGATATTTTCTTTAGGAAATATATATCACTAGCTGACCTGGCAAACTTCGCCTAACAGTCGATTCTTTAATTTTTTATTTTTTTTTAATACTTATTCTGCTATTCGGGACACCGGGTCACTCAATTGTTTTGCTTTCCTGGAACCCCCTCACTTACACTTAAACTTTATGGTATGGTATTAAAGTTCAAATTGACTTTTAAGTATTATTACAAATCTTTTGTATGGGAATATAGAAAAGTGTTGTTTTTAGACTTTTTCAGGCAATTTTTTAAAATTTTCTCTTCGTAAGAACCATCTTTGTACTTCAAGGAATATTATAAAAAAAGAATTAGCAAAATCGGTTCAGCTGCTCTCGAGATTTGAGCTTAGCAACACATTCAGCAATTCATTTTTATATTATAGATTATGACAATTCAAAAACGTTTACATATAATAATTTAGCTCGAAATTTTATTTAATCACTGTATGTGATCATCATTTATTGATTATATGTTGTTTAAAATGTATTCTAATCAGTTTTTTGTGTTAAATGAATGCTAAATATAAAAGAATGGTTCACTATTAACACGTTGATAGCCATTTATAAACGAAATATGTGTTGAGATGTGTCTAGAAATTATTAAGACTTATTTTTATTTATTTACTAGATGTTCCCCGCGACTTGGCCTGCGTGTAGTTATTTTTTGCAGAACCCTAGAATAAAAGCAGCCCAAGTTACTCCTTATAACATCAGCTATCTGCCAGTTAATATTTATACAATCACTCAATTGTTTTGCCTTCCCGGAACCCCTCCACTAACACTTCAACTTAATGGTATGGTATTAAAGTTCAAATTGACTTTTAAGTATTATTACAAATCTTTTGTATGGGAATATAGAAAAGTTTTTTTTTTAACTTTTTCAGGCAATTATTAAAATTTTTCTCTTTGTAAGAACCATCTTCGTACTTCAAGGAATATTATAAAAAAAGAATTAGCGAAATCAGTTCATCTGCTCTCGAGATTTGCGCTTAGCAACACATTCAGCAAATCATTTTTATAATATAGATTTACTTATTTAATCAAATGAATATTGGGTAAACATTATATAATTATGTATATTGAGTATATAAGATATTATTGATACTAGTGTCATTTCAAAGGTAATATCATGTACTATTATAATATAAAATAATTGTCTCCAGTAAATATTATACTTTTCTTGTAAAACTTGAAGTTAAAAAAATAAATACAATATTATTTTAAATTCCCATTTTTGAGCTTTATTTTCTGCTTTTATTTTTAATTTGACTAATTTTCTTTTAACAAAATAAAATTTTGAATTCTTTGAGTCTTATGAAATTATTTTTTATTTTAATGTAGCTATAGTAGTTTTTCAGTGGTAATCGTTTTTGTTGAGACAGTTTCGCATGGTTGTTAAAAAATAGTGACAATTAATGCACGGACAGGTGAGGCGAGGATTACTTGCGCAGGGTGGACAGTTAAGTGACTAAGAAATATACCAACTCAAGGTAAGTACTAGAATGTTCTTATTCACCTTTTTTATGAAACTAAAGTGACGAACAAACTCAGTTCACCTGATGGTAAGTGTCTAATTCAGTCCATGTACACCTGCAGCCAACTTCATACAAAAAAGGCTACAACATGTGTTGTTACCTGAGCACTAATATTGAATGCCTCATACTTAGTCTCTAATTATAATGGCTCTCTATACTCTTCAGACCTAAATACAGCAATGCAAGCATTGCTACTAGATAGCAAAAATAAGTAACAAGTACCTAATTACAATAAAAACTTTATTGTCAATTTTTTAAACCTTCAGTTGTGATTTTTTTTTCAAATTAAAATGAGACCATCTTTGAGGTAAAGATTGGTTCAGGACTTTCTAAGAAATCCATAAACATATAAAAAAAAATATATACAATATGTCGTTGACGCCACAAAGGGGAGAGAACCTCAAGTTTTCAAAAAATTTCAGGAAAGCATGAAAACATTTATTATTCCCTAATTACTAGCTTTTTTTTTTTCTTAAGCCAGACCGCAGCAACGACCGCGACTTTTCTCACTCAATCCTATAAAAAAAAATTGAGGTTTACCCCTTCGCAGCATGAACAATGAATTATTATAGAACTCTGTTAAAGATTTGGTTGGTTAAAAAAATAAGCAAAATTGGTAAAGTAATAGGATTGTGAGTATTATACTATTATTTTGATTCAAAAACACTTGCGAGAGTTAACATGATTTTGAAAAAAATTAATACTTACATGTTAATATTGAACATGCTTAAGGAGAAAAATAATAAATATAATTAAATATTATATTGAAATAAATAATTCAAATGATATAAAAACCAACTTATTATTCATGGGATATAATGTAACGAAACATATTAGAAATTGCATAAACACTACTAAAACTAACTAACTAAGAAACCTAGAAATTGAATTAAAAAATTAAATTTAGTCAAAAATTCAGTGTTGTCTTGCAAATATACAAACTGACAATAAATACTTCATTTAGTCTTTATTATGTATCTTATAACTTACCTAGTGGCACAATAAAAAAATGCATATTTTACTATGTTGTTGAATACTGTTCTACACCCAGTTCAAATATTCTCTTATTCTCATATATATATAATTACTTTTATTTCTCAATATCAATGCAAATTGTTCAAAGATGTGTTGTAACACCGTATTTTATTTTTCAAAACCACATTCTCTACTTATATTGTGTTGGGTAGACTATTTTTCACATTAAGACGAACTGTCAAAAAAACATAATAGATCAATATTACAAATTATCAAGGTACTTACACTTGTTTTTGGCATTCTCATCCATGAGCATGTTAAAGTGGTGGTGGCGGTTCCACGCAGCCATTTTTCCTTCGTGAGGAGCCCCGAGAAGCACCAGGGCCGCCCCGGCGGGCCCAACTCCGTCTAGGGGCTCCAGTGTCCTCAGCACTCTTCAACTTTGTCACACACTCATAACCCGAAACGCATAGCACACGGTTCACTGTTTCAAATCGCCGTCGCCTTGGACGGCGGTGTCATCGGCGCCAACGCGCGCCACACATGCCTTTGCACTTCCTCCACGCACTTAAAGATGCACTCACGGGTAAATAATCACGATCAACACGCCAAGCGGTGATTCACCTTCGACGCACGCCGCACTGCAGAGTGCAAGCGGACTCTACGCGTGCCGACCGCCGACCACTGACACCCAAACACTCGGCTCGCGTCACGTGTGCGCCGCCACCGCGACTACACCACCAACAAACACTATCCTCCGCGCACGAAAACAATTAAGCACACGCGAGTAAAAAAACTTATTTCAATTAATGAAAATGGGTAAATTCAACAGAATGGAGCGCGCCGCGAGGGAGCAAGACAACAACACGAATTCCCTTCTTCGATCCGATCCGATCCTGACGGCTTCGAAATGAACTCGCGAGTCGCGAACAAAATAATAACAAATGTGCATGAGATGCTTGCTGTATTCTGTGCACGTGGGTTGCGTCACATAGCCAATGAGATGGGTAGTCACTTCGGCAAATCAGACCAAATGTTATGCAAATTCACGACGCATTTTTGGTATACACAAATTATAATTATTGTAAGGTTGTGAACGATCTCAAAATTTGATGAAATGCGATCTACACTATTACTCACACGATTAAAAAAACTGATAGCTCGATTTCGAACTTTAATAAAAATATTATACAGTCATAATCTACACTAATATTAAACAAAACAGACTGTTAAACATTCCGAAAAATAGTAGTTTTGAACAAAATCGCGAACGCGTCGATCAAACGCGACAAGTAGGACAAAACATGGCAGACTCGATGAAAAGCACACGAACTTTATCTATGGTTTTTTAAAACGCTATGGTTTCTTCTCCGTTCCTTTACAAACATTTCTTGTATCGAATTTTAAAAAGGCAAAATAAAAGGCAGAAAATCTCTACTATTTATTTCCATTCATTTATATATAACGCCTGAGGTCCCGTTTTGAATTTAAAAAACAGCAACAAAAATGTAGATTCTGCCGAGTGTGGGTATATTAATGGTATATTATGCGTTAACAGAATCTAATTTTTTTTAATTTAAATTTTTGGCTTGGATGCTTATTTTTTAAGCCATATCTTCATTTATATTAGTATCAGTGATAATAATCCTACACATATAGTACACTGAGTCACAATATGATGATGCGTCACATTACGTAGTTTTTGGGAGATTTTGACGGCAACTAAGTCAGCAGACAGTTAACGATAGTATCTCAAGGCGCCTAAGCAGACAGACACCTTATTTTATGATTCGCCTCAACGTCGGAGCACTTGTTTCACTAGTAGTTCACATGCGCAGACATTTAATACACAAAATCAAACCACTATTATATATTAAATTCCATTTCAAACCATTATTTAAACAATAATACAGGAGCAGCAAACCCCGCCGTTCAAGGTCCCACCAAATCTCTCTAAATAGGGATGATTCGATACGAGTAATTATAAGTACACGATAATTTTCTTGCGATTCCAAGTAATTTTAGTATCGAATGAGTTCTTAAAATACCTACTTGGTATCGATAGAAAAGTATTTGTATGCTATGCCGGCGTACCAAATGTTTAGAACAATTACTGATTTTGGAAAATCTTTCTATAACGATTTTTTTTACCGATCGGAGTATCAAGGTCATAGTAGACGGTGCTTGCCCTGATTACAAGTCTATTAACGCTAGTGTTCCACAAAGCTGCATGCTATCACCAACACTGTTTCTTTTGCATATCAATGATATATTGCAAACTGGTAACATTCATTGCTATGCGGACGACAGCACTGTTGATGCCTTATATACCGACTGTTTAGGCAAAAATATTAAACATTTGAAACGTGAATTTTTTAAAAGTAATTTCGAAGCATAGCATCGATAGCAAGGTCACCCGCCCACCGCCCGGTCGCATTCCACGGGCGGTATCGGACGGACTTCTCGAGAAGAATTGTAAAGTTTTTTGCGATCGATACTGACGTCTTAGTAGTTAGCGCCTAATTTGTTACGAACGTATAAAACCAGCTTAAATCGTTGCGTCGACGAGAACACGTATTGTTCTTTAAGGATTTATTAACTTCTGTTAAATTAATTATGCAACTCCGATAGTGATTTTCCTTTGAAGTTCTTCGTTTGGCTGTACCATTACGTGACAAAACGGAAAGGGTGCCTCAAGAAGGGAATAGTTCCGGGGCTATCAGCGAATACCTTCTCCAGGACAGTATTGTGTCATCTAGCCCAGGCCACTTACACACAGCTTTTGAGAGTTTGGGTGTTCGAAAATGAGTTGAAGCTAACAAAAATTGTTCGTTCACGGAGTGTTGCAAAAAAAAATGGTGGCCACGTTTGTCTCCAAAACTGGCCATGTTACGACTATTCCTCTTGAGGGACAAAGAACGGTTAATGCAGAATGGTATGCTAGCATTTGTTTGCAACAGGTCGTTTCTGAACTCCGTAAAGAGAACTGCAACTGCCGCATCATCCTCCATCACGACAATGCGAGTTCTCACACCGCACACAGAACAAAAGAGTTTTTAGAGCAAGAAAACATAGAATTATTAGACCATCCGCCGTACAGCCTCAACCTAAGCCCTAATGATTTCTATACTTTTACTAAAATAAAGAATAAATTGCGTGGACAGAGATTTTCATCACCTGAAGAAGCTGTGGACGCCTACAAAACGGCCATTTTGGAGACCCCAATTTCCGAATGGAATGGTTGCTTCAGTGATTGGTTCCATCGTATGGAAAAATGTGTCAAATTTCGCGGAGAATACTTCGAAAAGCAATAAATACATTTTTAAATAGTAATATTGTGTCACTTCCTTGATTCCCAATTCAATTTTCAGTGCCGCCCTCGTACACTGGCTCTAAATTATGACCGATATAGGTTCCATCTACCACCGTCACGATATCTTCCTTATTGATCATTGTTATAGTGACTTTAACTAACCCATCGACATCAATTTTGTTGACTACCTAATATGCGAAGTAAGCTGTAACACTTATTAACATATTAAAATACAAAAAGTCTACTACTTTTCACAGCTTGTTAGTGATAAATATATGTTTTTTGGTACTTCACTAAACATTTCGAAGTTTAAAATATAGTCCATGTAAATCATATTTCGCATGAACTATTAAATTGTAACATAACTCGAGCAGTTTCAATTTCCACGGAATACAAAACTATAACATCATCTAGGTACCTTCAACATTTCTTTCAACATTTGTTAACATATTTGGGTACATTAAGAAATTATGAAAGTTATTGCTGGTACCTTTAATATAAATCATAGAAAAATATTTAAATTTGGCTTAAAATATATATATTTAATTACTTTGATCTTCACTTTAATGATACGTTAATATCGTAAATAGGACAGCAAATTTCATTCCGACATAAGAAAAAAGGAATCAATGCGAAGCGCATCATAGTCTTTCACAAACGTAATAACCTTCACACTATTCCAAGATTACATGTGGGCGACAACAGGGACTTTATCCCAATTCTGATGTCGGAACTAGCGGGAATACGTCAGAAAAGGTTAGTTTTTAAAAATTGTAAAAGTGTGAGAGCGGATGTTCAACTTGTTCTTCTGCTTACAAAGTTAATCATTGGTGCCATTAAAACGGTGCCACAGCACTATACAATCAGTATAGGCAATTACATTTCGATCATACCTCGTCACAACTGCTCACTGGTGTATCGTGAAGGACATAATTACATGGTAATACCAAATTATGCAAACAACAGCAACACTACCAATCTCTATGTAACACGGGACAGCCTCTCAGCAACACCATCCTCCTTGCTTGCACCAGAAGAATCACCACAACGGACAGAACTGGTATTTTATAGACGTCTATGGTCTAGGCACGTGCCTACTAAGTTAGTTTCTAACTTGTGTTTTTTATTTATATTCGTATTTTATTACAATAAACATAAAAATAAAATAGTTTAATTTATTTTTCTATACAAACTAATTACTACTTTACAAAACTAGTTGCGTTTCGCAGATTCACTTCGTCGTAATGGAAATAAAGGCTTGTGCTGGTAGGTATCTACCTAATTATATTATATTTTACCTATACAGCAGTATCGCAGGTATTCCGCTTAAAATATTTGATAGGGGGTTGAATACAATAAATAAAACAGGTTAAAATTATAAGTTATAGTTTACGTTCTTCTGTTATTCTGATTCTGATATTCAACCGCCTCAGTACAGATGTGCAACCGACAAATATTTATGACATTTATTATTGAGTTTTTTAATTGTATTTTGTTGAATTTTATAATATAAATAGCTTGCCAGGCAGACGTTGTTCTGCCCATACCGACGACCCTCTGCCCTATTAAGAAATCCTCAAGTTTACAATAAAAAAATTTGAGGGTCATTTATCGAGATAAAAACTATCCTATCTCTCAAGTTGAACCAAAATGCATACAGTGTGCAAAATTTCATTGAAATTAGTTCAAGTAGTTTAGGAGTCCATCGCGGACAAACAACGTGACAGGTAATTTTTATATATAAAGATGAATTCTCTTTATATATAAAAATTATAAATAAATTTTTATATATAAAGAGGAACTCTGCTCAGTCTGCTCTCCTTCATACCGCGCCCCATGATTGCTCCATCTAGTCGCCGAGTTGACTCATTATTAGTATTTATTTTACATATGCTCGCGGGGCATTACTGCTCCTGTATTATTGTTTAAATAATGGTTTGAAGTGGATTTTGATATGTAAAAGTGGTGCGATTTTGTGTATTAAATGTCTGCGCATGTTAAAAATGGTGATGTTAATCGTAAGTCTGTCTGCTTAG